AAACGTCTAAAACTAACAAAACTTGAATGAAAAAAGAATCTTTGAAATGTAAAATAATGACTAAAACTATAAAAATTTACACAATCAATTTTTTTTTAGTAAAGAAAACAGATTTATAAAAAATTAAATCAAAACCATTCTAAAAACATTTACATTTCAAATAAAGAAAAGTGAAAGAAACAAACAAACAAACAACAAACAACATCCAAACCTTAATTATTGAAAAAATAAAAGGTTAACAATGCTAACAAAACAATAAATAACTTTTAGAGATGTAAATCACTTTTGTTTCTTAAATGAATTACTTTAAAATAAAGTAGTCTCACACCTATTTATACCAATCTCCTCCAAACTTCTCTAGAACTTTCTATGCATCACTACACTTCTAGAGTCTTCCAAGAAGTATCCACAAGCTTCTCTAATCTTCTAGAAGAATCTAGAGAACTCTACACTGCTTCAGAATGATCTAGAGGCTTCCACACACTTTTACACAATTCTAGAAAATTCCACACTTCTCTAGAAAGTTTCACAATGTTCTGAAATATTCTACACTCTTTCACACGCTTCTAGATAATTTCACGTCTCTTTAGAAAGTTTCAGAATATTCTGGAACATTCAATACTCTCCGACACTTATATAGAGAATTGTAGACATCTCCACAAAATTATAGAATTTTCATCAACTTCTCAATTTAGGAGGGAACCCAATAATTACTAAATTATTACTAAAATCAAATGTAAAAATACAAATATGATAGTCGCTATTTTATAAAATTAATTAAACATAATACTAGATCCAGTGAAAGGTCCATGATTTCGAGTCAAGGGGGGCGAATTTTTTTGTTAGTGTAGGGGGTGAACATTTTTTCGCTAGTGTAGCGGGATAGAATTTTTTCCACTAATGTAGTGGGGCAATATTTTGTCGCTAGTGTAGCGGGACGATTTTTTTTCACTATTGTAGGGCTTTGTGGCTAATTTTTATTAAAAACAAATCATTAGTACATACACGTTGACATTTAAATCTATTACTTGGTACATTCTAAGTTTAGACAATGGAAAAGTAACTTTAATTTTGTAACCGTAAATGCTTTAGAAAAAAATATTGATACATTAAAGCATAAGAAATTGCAAATCAAAGGAAATTTATTTGAAAAAAAAGGATATATTACAGTTTGTCAATCTACTTGAAGGTAAAAAAATTAAAATGTACACATCAATCAATGCCTTTTAAATAACTTATGTCTTGTTTAACCACATGAACCTTATCGGAATAAAGAATTGGTTTTGGAATTGTATTTTTTGTCTACCAAAGAGGGTGTTCATGGGTCACGAGATTTTTTTAATATTACAATAGTATATGTGAGATTATTAATTTTAGAATAATATTATATGTAGTATTGTTAATTCATATATGTGGTCAATATTATATTTGTATTAATGCTAAAATACGTTAAAGTTTATTATTTATGCAATAAATTGCTTTTAGAAAGTAAGAAGTAAATTAATTGTATAATTTAACGTCAACAAACATTTATATTTTGGATTCACTTCACATGATCTAAAAAAACTGTTTAACTAGTGTGTCTGGTATTTAATATCGTTTGATCTTTTACAAAATTTAGTACTAATTATCAAATAAAGATAATTAAATATTACAAAGCTAGCAACTTTTAAATAATGGTATCCTAAGTCCTAAACTATCTAATTATTTTAGATTTTACTTTTTTTAAATCTCCAATTAAGTATTACACTATATAAGGCTATATATTAACTTTGAAAACTAAAAGTTAAGAGGGAGAAAATATATACATCCAATAAAGTATGATAAATTTATGAAAATACTACATATATAGTAGAAAAATTTGAAAGTCCAAGAGAGCGGTTGCCCCCGCGCCCCCTTAAATACATTGTCCCTGACTAGATCTAATAGGGAAAAGGTCAAATAAGCCCTTATATAGGAGGCTCTGTCCGGCCGTCGTCATTTGGGACGGTTCTCGGTGTAATTTTTTGATGAATTTTTTTGAGCATCTTATTCATTAATTCTAGTTTACTCATATCAAATTTCAGATAAAACTTTAATCGGGAAGGCATACAAATGAATTCTTGAAGATAATTGCACTTTTAACTGCACAATTATCTTAAAGAATTCCTTTGAATGCCTTCCCGATTGATGTTTTAATTGAAATTTGGTATGAGTAAGATAGACTTAATGAATAAGATGCTCAAAAAAATTCATAAAAAATTACACCGGGAACCGCCCCAAATGGCGACGGCCGCACAGAACCTCCTATATAAAGGCTTATATGACCTTTTTATGTAAGTTCGAGGGTTTATCTTGACCCTTTTTCCCAATCTAATATTATGATCACTCCTACACACAAAAGTAAATTGTTATGCATTTGCGGGTTTTTTACGAGAATATTATTAAAATAAAACTTATTTACATAAATATGACTATTCATTACTACAACCTAGTGTTGTGGTAACTAAAGTTCAAAACTTGAACATGAATTACTATGATTTCATGACTACTCTAGTAATGAATCATATTTTTGTAAACCATCTTTATTTTGGTCATGTTTATGTAATTATTTCTATGCATTTTCTTATTGTATTATGCAACGCTCATTATTTCTTATTTTAAAGATTTTTCTATATAGAACAATTTATTCGAATATAAATTAAATATATTTACAGTTTTGGAATGGATGCATGACAAACAAGGCCGAATATCGCAAGGCGGTGAAGTTTTGATAGAAATGTGGAGACTTGGAGGCGGTGAAAATGATGTGGACAGCGAAATTACGAAATTAGACATGCAGGAACCTCAATAAATGCTTCTCTCCGTACATAAACCCGGGACCCCCTAAAAGTACAGCAGCAAAATAAAGCAAGAGAAACTGCCCGGATATTTTCGTCATTTTCACTTTCTACAAACAAGGAAATCCGCCTCCACTTTCCTCCAATCCCCGCTCCGTTTTCTTCCCTTCCGCTACGAAACTAAATTCATAAGCTCTGTAGAGTTCATACTCAACTTGAATCGATCGATCGATCGATCGTTCAATCGAATGAAGAAGTTATTGACTTGTGCAAGGAGGAGGAAGGGCGGCGACAGTGGCGGCGGCGAAGAGACGGAATCGAGGCTGACGGAGCCGGAGATGGACGCGGCCTTGCAGCTGATTCAGCTCAGCGGCGATTCCGACAGCGTACGGTACTGCAACAACGCCGGAGATGAGGAAAGCGTCACCGCTGACGCCGCCTCCGACAATAACGATCTCGATGAAGCTGCCTTGGAGGCTTTCCCGCGGCCGAGGAAACGGAAGTTCCGATCCGTCGTCGATCTCTATCAGGTCACGAAGCCTGTCCGCAATAAATCCAATAAGAAGCCTGGAACGACTGGTAAGAATTTCAGGAACTAATTCGTGTTATTGCTATTCCTATTGTTGAGAAATGAACAGCATTCTGCTCTTCGTCCGGAAAAGATAACCTACTGGCTTTTGCAGCAGCTAGATGTAATTATTAAGAAATTACTGTATGTATTATTACAACAATAAGAATAATAGCCAGTAGTTATTAGTATGTAGCTTCCGTTTAATTAAAGTTAACATGTGATTATCCATATTTTGTACTCCGTCTGAATTCTGAAACTATGAAGATGATGTACTCCTCTATTCTCGCTATATTTTACTCTCTTTTTGGCACATCTCCAGTTTCATTCCCTTGATTTTCGAGCTTTTCCCTTAACTTTTTTTTATTCTCTTTTCATCGTAGATTTTAAAATGTTTGAATAGAAAACTTAAATTCCTCCAATAGAAAACTTAAATGTAAGTGTCAATCGGATTTTCAAAAAAAAATGTGTCAATCGCATTACAAAATATGGATATATGCGAAAAATAGTAAAATACGTAGCTAGCAGATTATAACTCCTCATTATTTCTAAATAAAGAAGGTAGATATATGGGTTCGTCATAACTAGTCTTAAGGAATTATAATCTGCATGCTTTTTATTAATCTTCTTTTTATTTAATTAATGATATTTTATGACCAAAGAATAGTAATGGTTATAGTTGAATTATATTTAGAACAACTATTTCTAACATATTAACCTATAAGGTTGATATAGAAATATACCATCATATAAATCCTGATAAGTCTCGCATAAAGTCTTGAATTATTCCGCCGATCCTATGAAGTTGATCTTGTAAGGCAATACACCTAAATTTATCAGAGCTAATTAAGCTCGAATGAGCAATTAAATCCAGATATGTCTCAACAATGAGCACACACGTTAGTGCGTTACAGGACTTGCATGTGTTCTCCGATGAGCCACCATTTGTGGACGTACTAGTTGCATATAAAAATACAAATGAGCATATAAAACTTTGATCTTTTCATTTAATTAGGTTCATGAGAAGAAACTTTAAGATTTAATATACTCGTAACAAACATTGATGGTCGAATTATCAACATGTTTTAAGAATTTGGGTACAAGTTTATAAATCACGTAAGAACATATCGAATGCATAACCGTGATACTCGCAATTCAATGTCGATACTAATTTCAATTTTATACCATGCTAGATTTTAAAACATCAATATTGTTGGACAAATATAAAATGAGAAATGTTGATTTTGCACTCCACTCCACCTTTTGGGTGATATTGGATTTTGCGCTCCATTTTAAAAATTTTTTATTTTACACCTCAATTCTCTTAAAAATACTTTGAATTTGCACCTACATTTTCCCTCACAAAATGTTATAGGATGGGTGTAAACAAGATTGTTATAAATGGAATGCAAAGTTCTAACATCATTCAAAGTGTGAGATATAAATAAAATTCTTCATGTAAAATGCATACATAGTACTACTATACGTATAATACAGTGTTATGATATTAGGCCAATCTTAAATAGAGTAGACCGGATTGGGAATTTTCTATCCAAATGCAGACATCCTACGTGAATACGTGATAATAAAATTCATTATGCTACGCGTATAATTTGATTGGTTCAAAAGGAGATGATAAAAGAGCTACTAGCTAGTCCACGCTATCTTTCTATAATAAGTGGCCGTTTGGAGCAATAAAAATGGGCTGAAAAGCCTGAAAATGCAAAAATATTGCCAAACACATAGCAAATGGGCTGTTTGGGCTGTTTTTGCTTATCAGCCAAAAAAGTAACAATAAGGTTACTTTTTGAGCTGAAAGTTATTATTGGACCGTTGCAATCTAAAAATACTACTTTACCCTTTTATTTTACGTAATACGCCATAGCACTGCCCTTCCAGATCGATGACAAGAAGCTTTCAATTCAATTGCTGCGCCATAATTTTGTCCTTCCCGATCGATGACCTCCCTGCTCGATTGCGCCATAGTTTTGACCTTCCAGATCGACAAATTCTTGCTCAGATTCTTCATATTCAGAGGTAATTTCAGAAAGAAGAATTCCAAGAAGCGGTCATTTTTCGTTTTTCCGAGTGGTGTTGCTTTTCCGTTATTATAATGCAAAGGATCATAACTCTCAAGCACTAGAGATTTCCAATGGTTTGTTCCATAACTGCAAAGATTGCGATCCGGAAACTTTTTAGTTGTGTGTAATATATTGTGATTAATTAGCCCATGAAACTTTAGTTGATTCCCAGTAACTATGATGTTTGATGTTGCTGGGTAGATGTTCCATGTCTGTTTTATGACTAGCATCCTCCTCATATTTTGCACTCTTTGATTATGATTTATTAATGACAATTTAAATTGTTCCTTGCAAAAAAGATACGGAGTATATTTTATTTGTGAGTAATTTAATGTGATTAAGATTATTTCAAATTGGAAAATTTCAAAGTAATCAACTATTTAGGTAATTTATAATTATCTAATCAAGGAAAAGTAGTTTAATAGTAAAACTTACACTCATATATTTAACACGAATAAGTTAATACCCTTTATGGTAATTTTACACTCAATCAGCCATTTCAGTCAACATCTTACCAAACACTTTCATTTCAACAAATTCAGTCTTTTCAGACTTTTCAGCCATTCCAGCCAATGCAGCTGTTACCAAACAGGCCCTAATACTCTCTACGCTTTCTAATTTTCTAATCCGTATATTCAAGGGTCCATTGTACATTAAATTAGCGGCACATCTTTAAAAATCTATGCTCTGTAAAAGTTGCTAATTTTGTTAAGTTTGAAGTCTTTTTAATGTTAGGATGATTTTGCATTCACTCCCAGAACACACCAGATCAGATCAGATTCAAACAGATCAGACTTAAACAGACCAACACATATCAGACCAGACTTAAACAGAACAAGCCAGAATGCCAGACTACATTCGTAGTTATAAAATACACAGATTATACATTTTCCAGACCAGTCTATATCAGATCATATTAGACCAAACCTCAACAGACCAGAACAAATTAGACCTGACCAATAAATTTCAATCCAAAAGAAAACATCTTCATTGAGATGGATTTTGAATTTTGCAAATTCGTAGAGGGTAGAAATCTGTAGATTTCTCTAGTTGAGCAAACAAAATAGTACGTAGAAAAATTTGAAACTTCTTTAGAAACTTGAGGAAAAGTACGAAATGCATTAGAATATTCTAGGTGCCTCTAGAAATGTAAAGTTCTAACATAGTAACACATCCCCTTAATGAGTACTGTACGTGAAGTAGGGTTGGATTGGCCCCGGGTTGACCGGCCCGGACCGCCACTGTGCGGGACTGAGCCTTGGGCCCGAACCGGGGGGGGGGGGGGGGGGGGGGGGGGGCTACGGGTAGTCTAATTGGTGGACCGGTCCGACCCAAAAAGTGTTTTTTTCGAATGGTTTGGACTTTGGGTGCTAGGCGGGTGGGGCTTAGTGGTTTGGGGGGTGGGGGTAGGAATAAATAAGAAAAGTCATTTTTTTTAAAAAAAATATAAGATCCAACCCAACCCGGGCCCGGCCTGGTCCCGGAGCCTACCTGGGCCAGTACTGGGCCTCCAGTACCCATACCCGGTCCCGCCCAAATCCCGACCCGGACCCGTGCCCGACCCGGACCCGGACTCGGACCCGGACCCGGTCCATCCCTAACGTGAAGCCTCCTGATCTTGATTTTGCTGATGTATGTATGGAAGACAATAGATAAGTATGATGTGTGAAAAGTTAAAAAGAATTCATCTCTAGCCTTGAAGAGTACTACAATTAGGGGTGAGAATTATATCCCTCACAATATAAAAGACTGAATACATATTTCAAAAATTCCTTTTGTACACGTTTTTGTACCCATCAGTACACGCATGTGTCTGTGAGAGTTTTTTTTTGTCTGTGAAGTGCGGTCCACAGACATAAGTTCGCTTGTTTTGTCTGTGGAAAATTTCACAGACAAAACAAACCAGCTTTTGTCTGTGGACCGCACTTCACAGACAAAAAAAAACTCTCACAGACACATGCGTGTACTGATGGGTACAAAAACGTGTACACCAAGAATGGTTGTACATATTTTACGGCATTAGGATGAGAAGTTACATAGTTTAGATTACGGGTGGACATGCCAGTTTTAGTTCGATTTTTATCGATTTCAATTCGATTCTGTTTGAAACAGATTGTAAGAATGATTACCAAACAAAAATCATACTATCTTTCAATTTGGTTCGATTTAGTTTAGTTCAGTTTGGTTCAGTTTAGATTTGTTAGTTTTTGATAATATATGCAATTTTGGATACGATTTTCACTATGGGTCATCCAGAAACAGTCTCTCTGTGCTTTAGTACAGGGGTAAGACTGCGTACATCCGACTCCCCTTACCCCACCGTAGGTGGGAGCCTTTGCGTCACTGGGGTAAATGAAAATGAAAATGAAATGATGAAACTTTTATTGATTTTTTTTAGTTCGGTTCAGTTTTAATTTAGTTTTTCTTGGTTTTGATTCGCTTCAATTTAATATTGTTTGAGATAAATGCTCCCAAACTCAAACCCAATTGCACGTAGTACGATTTTGGTTCAGGGTAGTTCGATTTAGTCCGGTCAGTTTGGTTAAATCAAACTAATATGCCACCCCTCCTTAAGATAGAAAGAAAAAAACTAAAGATCAAGAAAGCCTAACATTTTTACCTATATAAGTGGTACTCCCCACATTTACACAGTTCAAGGTTTTTGCGCACAGAACGTAGGAAGCGCGCTCGGTACCTCACTAGGAAGCAAATTAGGAAAGAATATAGAAAAGGCTCAATTTTAACGCAAGAGAGATCAACAACACAATTGTTGTTTATGGCCGGGATTAATAATGTATAACAACAAAAAATAAATTTATGTATTAAATCTATTTTGGATAAGAAAGGATTAGCATTATGTACATTTATCCAAAAGGTTGATCCCCAACCCCAAGGCCCCCTATGCCCTGACCCAACAGAACATATGAGAGATTGTAAATTACGGTGACTTAACCAATCCTAACGGTGGTAGACAGGGGCGGATCCATGATGTGATGAGAGGGGCCGGAATATTGATACGTTGTTTACCCTAAAGTGTTTAGAAAAAAAATCCACTTAAATAGTTATATTACTCTTTAAAATGTAGTACACAAAAATATTACTTAGTCACTATTATTGACTATAATTGTTTCATGTTTCATTCATATCTAATACGTAGTACCATGTAATATATCTTTTGATGAAATAATTAAGCATTTGCGCCTCTAAAATAGGGTGAAAACCACGAGCTAATGAGGATTTTTTATTCAATATAAAAAACTGAGAGATAATCAGAAGTACTCCGTATTTTCTACTACTATATCAAAAATAACAAAAATTGAGGGGTATAAAATTTTAAAAGATGAAATCTAGTGAAATAAAACTTCAAATTAGGTGTTGTGGCTTTTGGTTTCACCGTAATTGGCAGGTTCTATTCAGTCATCTTCCTACTTGCTACTATAGAAAAGCTTATGTGTTAAGGCCATAGGAATTATATATATATATATATATATATATATATATATATATATATATACATACATACATACATATATATGTAATTAAATAATGTTGGGAAGGGCCAAGCCTCCCTAACTAGGGGTGGGTTCAGTTCAAACAATTCGATTTTCACCTAAAACCAAATGCCGAATCAAAGTAAAAAGTTTGGTTCTGTTCAGTTTTATGTTCAAAAATTTGGAACCACGGTTTGTTCGGTTCGGTTTATTTCGGTTCGGTTTCGGTTTTTTCGGTTTTTACCAAAGTATTTTTGTTCATTAGAAAATTAGTAATTGAAAAACAAAAACAAAAAAATAAACTACATCAAACTATCATTAATAGTAATACAATACAAAAACATACATAATTAAAAAAGAGAGAAGAAACAAATACACTTCCTAACAATGAATTAGAGAGTACGTGTGATGGACAGTCTACCCGAGGGGTATCTTATCCGAGGGGTTATCGCAGGAATAACTAGAGAGAAGTCAGAGCAAAATAGGAGGGGAGAGAGTCGATTTATTAAATGAACTCAGCGTGTGGAGTTGAGGTGTAGATGATCATTTACAAGGAGAAAATGGGCTGCTATTTATAACAGCAATAAATGCGATGAGAGGACACGTGTCGGTAATCCAACGGCCGAAGGGTCACATCAACCGGTTGGCACCGGCAGTGGTACGTTTACCGCATTGAATGCGGCTGGCGGATGTGACGTGGCATTAAATGCGGTGGTTGGCTGTCTCCAAAAGGAATCTTCGATGATTTGAGCGTGTCTGGCCGAAGGCTCCTGGTGTAGCCGAGGGCTCCATGCGACCAGGACCCCTGTGTAGCCGAAGGCCTCATGTAGCCGAAGGCCTTATGTGACCGAAGGCTATGATACCGAGAGCTTGACAATGCCGAAGGCTCATGTTTTTTGCCGTTTTCTCCCAGTAGCTTTTTATGCCAGAGAAGGCTATCCTGTGAGTTTTGGAGCCTTCGGCCAAGGAGGCCGAAGGCACCCCAGCGTGTATTCTGGGCTACTTTGAGGCTTGGGCCGTTGTATTTGGGCCTGAGTTGTTCCATCGGGCTTGGGCCCAATGGACTTATGTAGGAGAAGTAGGAGTCTATGGGCCGGGGGTTCCTGGGCCATATACTCCATCAGGAGTCCCTCACTCCTTTTGCCGAAAGGTACTTGAGGGAAAAGGAGTAGATGTGTTTATTCTTCCGGAGGCTCCACCATTTGGTTGGGCGCCTTTGCTTGAGAGCTGCCTTCTGCTGATTGCCGAAGGCTTCCCTCAGTCCCTCGCACGTCGAGGGTTTTCTGAGGGAAGCATAGATGTATTTCCTGCATGTGTTGTGATGAGGGCTCCTTCATCTCCGCAAGTGACTTGGGGAAAACTCGTGATATCCTGCCTCTGCCGAAGGGGTTCCACTATGATGTTTGTCCGGAGGCTGCACGCGTCAATAGTAAATTGTTTGTATGAAGAACTTTTGTTCTGTATGATTCCCGAGGGGTGTATCCCAGTCCCCCACTCCTTTAGGCCGAAGGCTAGTTCGGGCTGAAGGAGTTATGATGTGTTGATGCAAACCCGAGGGGTGACAATATTGACAAGCCGGGGGCTCATGCTGCCGCAGGCTCGAAGACGTTTGGTGGAATCCGTTGTCTGAGGGCTGCAGAGAGTGATAACCGGCGGCTATCATTCGAGGGCACCCCCAGTGTTGCCGAAATATAGTCGTTGTAATAGAGTCGTTGGGAGAGGGGGCCGACGTGGCAGGCTGGCATTGGCTGAAGGAGGGCGGGAGCC